TCACGTTCGACTGCCCTGTAATGCATGATTTTGGAGAGCTGGCGAAACAATGTGTTGTTTGCCTTCAAGGCATCTGCAACAAAAATGAAGGTTTGCCGCCTGACATGTTTGAATATGTCACCTGGTATCCCCCACGCAAGCATCCGTGGACCGACTTGGCCTGCCAAGTGCAAGCACCATGACCTGAACTGATGTAGCATTTGACTCGCAACAGCCCTCTGCAGGACCAAGATGGGCTGATGCAACAGAAACCACGATGGCATGTCAGAATCAGGAACACCATGTCTGAAAACAATGTGATGTTGTATATTTGCCATGACAGAACGTACACTCCGAGATTTCCGTTGAGCAGGGGTCAGCTTTATGTTTGTATCATCGTTGACATTCACACTGATGACATGAGAGAAATCACATCTTTGGGGCTCAATGCGATGCTCAGCTTCGCCATCGGACGACTCAGCTTGGCCTAAGAAGAAAGCTTTCAACCTGCTGGCCAGGTTCGTGAAATACACCCACACGGCTCTGCGTCTGCGCTCAACACTCGGCTGCAACACAGATCCATCTTCGAATGGGCTCCACCAACCTTTTCGCGCGAGCTTGCTTGCAAAATATGTCCTTTGAAATTGAGCCACCGGATCGGGCTCGTGCTGGCTCTCCTTCTCCTTCTCCAGCTTCTTTCTCTGTCGCGACAAAAGTGCTGCTGCACGCGCCTTTTCGGTTTGTTGTCGCCTTCGATACTTTTCCAGCTCTGCAGCTTTGTCACTATGACTCTGACTGCTTGATCCACTGCTTGAACCTGAACTGGGACTGTGCCCATGATTCCCATGATCCTCATCAGCCCCACTGCCACTATCCACAGAGCTTGCGGCTCCCCACAAATCTGAAAGTGGCATTGCTGTCTCAGTCCAAAATCATGGCATGCGCACACTCTAGATTCTGGGCAAGGTCTGACATTTCTGCTGCTGCATGTCAATTGCCTACCCAGCGTGCGACGAAGATGCTGCCACAATGTTAGAACTTGTAGGATGTTGATGTTATCTCTGCTGCATGGGATTGATATCATGAATCATGTGACATCAAATAGTTGACAAACAAGTCGGATATTGAGAAGCCAACTGAGGCCAACTCATGTCGCATCTCATGTGTCACATTAGCTGCTGAACTTGCAAGCTGGAACCCACATGTTGGCCGGCCTCATAGGTCTCGAAGAAGTCTCCCCTGCATTGAGGAGGCCAAGGCTTCGCAAAGGCAGGCACCTCCACGAGAAAAATGGCCAATATCAGTCATCAGCAAACTCAACTCATGTCATGTACTATTCCAATTCAGGTTACCACAGTGCTGACTCCTAAATCCTGAATCTGGTCTTGACACTGCAGCTGCCTACCCTTTGCTCAGGTGGGAACCCTAAATGCCTAAACTGCCAATTGTGGCAATTGCCATGACTCCATGAGGGCAAAGGCAAGCTGAATGGCAGCCTCCTCCACAATGAAACATCGGGGCTTGCGGTCCCGGATGTGCCGCGCTGTCTCCACCACTGGCCTGCCATTTAGATTGCTGAAGGGTTGTTTTTGACATTGACAAGTTCATATCGACCAGCCCTCATGTGATATGTTGATATGTCCAACTGTCTCAATCACCGGCCTGCTGTTGGGATCATTGAAAGGATCATAGTCAGCCCTCCGTCTTCGAATATTCAGCCAAGAGAATGGCGTGCAGGGCGGGCCACTTGCATAGATATCCTTAAGACGGCTCTGCATGATGCATTGCGCAATGCAGCAATGCGGTTCTGATGAATCGCAAGAAAATCAGCCCGAGTCAGTCACATGAGATGAACCCAGGCCCATGCCCATGCAGAACCTTTCGTGTACTGTGTGATATGAGTTGCCGAGTTGCTTCAACATCATCGCCCAAGTCAACTGGATCGCAGAATTGATCGTGCACAACGCAGTAGCCCCCGGAGTGTGTGCTTGCGCAATCAGGAAAGATGTGAGCACCTGAATTTGGGCTCAAAGGAAGGTTAAGCGGATAATAAATATTATAAAATTATTCGTGATATTGTGGCGGTTGAATTAGGGGCTAGGGGCCGGGGAAAATTAGGGGGGTTCAAGAATGAGGGTTTTTTGGCTTTGTGGATTCATTGCGTGGCTTGGACTTGCATGCGAATCCCCGAATCATAATGACAATGGCAATTGGCAATTACACTTACATTAAATTAAATTACTACGACAATTATATTCAGTTAGACTATGACTTTGACTCTGACTCTGACTATGACTCTGACTACAATTACCTGAGGACCCGGAACCTGAATCTTTTCACTTCTGACTGGAAGCAAGTTGCACTGGAAGTTTGCGCGGAGCCAAGCCTGCGTGGCAACGTTTTGCTCTGACGCTGCCACCTCCTCGAACTGTGTTCTGGTGACCCTGCACAGGTCCGACCTGGGTAGCAGTCTGTGACATGGCCTGTAACATGGCTGTGGCACATGCTGTCATGTGCTATTATGGGCATGGTCCGGTATGGCCTGAATGTTATGGTTTGGCATGACTATCCTGAGACTATCCTCATGGCCTTATGGCTGCTGGCTGGTACACCTTCTGTCCCCTTCTTGAAATCACAGCCCAGTTCGAACTCTCAGGGCCTGGCATGCAGTAGTTCAATGTTCCAGCACCGGAACAATCCGAAGCCACCAAGTACCTGGGCACAGTGTAGGGGGGCAGGACTGTGCAAAATGCAGGCAACATATTGGAGCGCAGAAATTGGAACAATTGTGGGGCAAGATCTACTTCATTGCAGCCAGAAATCTGAGCACGACCATTTGGAGGACTGAAAGCTCCGACGTGCACAGCTGAAGCATCCAGATACAGCTTGGCACACTCCATCATGGAAGGCGTTTTGCCAGCGTCCACAAGTTCGTCTGGTCCCTCTGTGCTCTCGTCATCCGACTCTGAGGTATCTGTCAGCACCGAATCCTCCCAAATCATAAATGATTGAACACAATGTGACAATGACAATGAGACTCATTGCCTGTTCATGTCTCGTTGAACTCATATATGGGCTATCACATGTGTGGATCATGATTTTTTCTGCCCGTCCTTGCTGTACTCGCTGCTGTTGCTGTCACCACCGCTGTAGATGGCAGCATCAGTGTCAAGGACGGCATGATCCTACAAATCATTGCGATTCTGGAACGTGAAACTGATAGCTTGATTTGATTGATTACCTAAAGAAACAAACTGGCTGCATGCGGTCCTCGTGGCGCGCAAATCCTTCCAGAATGTCCACAAGGCCACGTAGCTCCATGTTCCCTTTGAAAAATCTGTGACTGGGGATTACAGGTTGCCCCTGGGCCCTATGCCGCATGCCGCATGCCTGTGACATCAACACTTGCTGCCGCAAGCCACTTATAGCCACAGTCATGTCATGACGCATCTGCAGATATCAAGGCTTCCCTGAGCCATGTATCAGCTGAACATGAATCGCAAGTTGAACTGAACGGTCCTGCAAGCAATGTCGAGAGGCAACTTGATGAGTGTTTGGGACTTGGATCTGGGCTTATAATTTTTGCTGCTTAAAATGTTTGGGGGGCATTGGAACTGAACCATATGATGATTCATGAGATTCGAAAGCTGAAGGCTTTTGAGCCCTTCTTTGCAAAAGATGTGGTGAGACACATGCCCAGCACCAGTAGATTATAATAGGTTGGTCGAAAGCCAAATGAGAAATAGTTCCTGAGAAATGTGAAACAGTTCCTGAGAATGCAAAACAGTTCCTGAGACTGTTTTAGCTTGAAACAGAAACCCCATTTTAAATACACCATAAATTCTTCTAAGTAATAGCCCATAGCACTAGTAGATAGAAGTAGTAAGCAGTAACAGCGATAGTCAACAGCAAAAGAAATGGTAAATAGTAATGGCAGTATCAAATAAGAATAGCACAAGAAAAGAAATAGTAAATTCCACAGACCGTAACGGTCAAATAGTAATTGTCAATAGTAATAGTAAGAGTGAATAGTCAAAGTAACACTCAATAGTAGTAGATAGAACAGTAAACAACGGTAGTAGATAAGAATAATCTAAAAATAGTGAAAACGAATAATAGAATACACCGTAATACTACAAGGCAATAGTGGGAGTAATTACAACTGAGTAACTACAAATAAGAATCTAAACAGTAATACTAGATAATAATAGTACATACTGTTAATGAATGGTAACAGTAAATAGTCATAGTCAATGGCGAGTAGTGATTTAGGACTTCATATGTGTATATGTAAACAGACACAAGAATGATGAAATGGAAAGAATGGGATGACGTAGTGTGGAGTGATGTGATGATCTTGTTGAACGGTTTTCATACTGTCTGGGTGGACTGTGAGGATGATGCCATGAAATGCGGCTTGCGTCGTGTTGGCTCTTCGTGATTCATCTCTTTCTCTTCCAATGTTTTCGGGACAACCCCTCTCGCTTATAAGACTACAGTGGAAGAAGTATGCGTGCTGATGATGCTCGCATATGTATGCGAGCATCATCAGCACAATGCGTCCCGATTTGCCACCCAAGGCAATCTCTGATGCCTGTCACGCCCCGTACACGAGCAGGGCACTTCCAAAGGGCCAACAAATAGGGCTCACAAAATAAGAAAATGCCCCCCATGAGACGATGCTGGCCGGGGGTGGCCAGCATCCGCCTCATCAGCATCACCGCGTGTCCGGTTCGCGACCCCCCGCACCCTCTCTGCACAACTCCACTCTACCTGCTCCCGCACCTGGGTGCAGCCCCTTAATTTTTTTTTGCACAGCTCCGGAGATTTCTCTGGTCTGTTCTAAGGACCTCTAAGGCATTGCGCTCAACACCCCCTTTGTGTGCCCGTGCAAAACTCACCTGCAAAAAGAAAAGGGCAAAAGCAAGACAACGAGTTAGCCTTAAATATCCTGACCATTTGGAACAATTGCAAAACTGCCGTCGACTGAAGGAGCATCCCCTGGTCTTGCAGGTCGGCTCCTGAGGCAGCTCAAGCACAGGATGCGTGAGAATCGTCTTGAACTCGCTGCCATCCACGCCTTGAATCAAAGGTGTAATTTTCAGAGTACAAGACTCAAGCAGTTGTGCACTCACCGGAAATTGGCTGTTCGTCTGAGCTCCAGGCGACCTGCAACCACGAATCGCACACTACAACCTCGGTCTGACTCAATCAGACTGGAAAGTACACGCAGGCTTTCTGAGGACGGACTGCGAAGCTTTTGCAGAGCCCCCATGGTCCAGTCACGTTGCCTTGCTTGGCTGGCTAGAGCAATTGCTTCTTGCGAACGCGGTGGGTCATCTGCGCAGAACCCACCGGCGGCCAGCATACTCTCTGCAACCATGAAACTGCTCTAGAGAGCTGCCATCCATGAAGCCTGATGGTCCACAAGCACCAAGCCAAGGCAAACAGGTGCACTTGCTGTTGCAGCGGCCTGCTGGGGCATAGTACTTTGCATCCAGAATACGCCTTCGGCAGCCACGGCAGACCACATCAAGTGTGCATACATGTTTACCCAGGGTTTTAGTACAGTCTGCTGGGTGGCTGACTGTCTCTTGCACCGCACAAAACAAACCATGGGACCACACACCAGAAAGCATGGGCTGTCAGCGGGTGCAGCCTGGTTTGCTCCCTTTCTAGAAGCCGGAGCCGGTTGCCTGTATGTGTCATAGCCGACGACGAAAATGCTTCCAGGAAACCTTAGTGCTGACTGGTGATAGTTGCGAGGCCTCATTAGCGGAATCACTAGTGGCAAAGTACCAGGTCAAGATGACGGGAATACGAGTGAAGGCTGAGGCATCGTCATCTCCGCTTTTTGCTGGAACAACATCGCCCTGCTAGCCAGCACTTGGTTGCCACGAGATACGGCCTCACAGCGCTGCTGAAGCACAGGAATGGGACATAGTTTACTGAGTTTACTGTCTTCAATGCTGTTGAACTTGTGCGCCAAGCCCAACTGGGGTTAAGGCTTAGCAGCCAATATCTCCTAATCCTGCCGTTCTGACAGTTCTGACATTCTAACCTGAGGGACGAGCTGAGGTCAACGAAAGCAGGCCAGGCTTTAGCACTGGAGTAGAAGAGGAGGAGGGGCGATACATGTCAGCAAGAAGCACAAACCTCGTTAAGGGGCCTTGAGAATCCCTCCCCAAACCTCGCCAACTAGACTCCAGTCCGCGTCACTTTGTACTTCACTTTCTTTTCCCGTCACTTTCCACTATCTTTTCCCCTCCACTTTCCCCGTCCTTTGCTCCACTTTTCACTCCACTTTCCAGTCAACCCTCTTCCTTAGTCTGGAGTAGTGTCGGCTCCAGTTTCCACTAGTTTCCACTCCACTGCTATTCACTCACCATTCCACTCTGCACTACACTATCAACTCCACTCTTAAGGTCTACCCTCCACTCTCCTATCTATTTCCCACCTCACCCCACCTTACTTTCCACTCTACACCTAGCCCTTCCACTCAATTCCACTTCACAATGGCCTGCATTCTTTGCCAATGTCCAGGAGCCATGACAGGCACGAGGATGGCGAGTTTGACTGCCCCATCCCGACCACAGAGGGGCCAGGGAGGTTTGATGCAACGACCAGCACAGTTTATTTGCATCATGACTCTGCAAGGGTTATGAAAATTGAAGGAGAACAGAAGCTTTAAGACCACCAGCATCATGTTACTCGTATTATGACCCTGCCGGGTCTGGCACGCGCAGGGAGGTTTGAATTTGCCGGTGCCTGGGCCACGAAAAGGAAGTCAAGCAACCCATGAGGGAACATTTGAACTCATTAGCACATCCCCTCCCAAAGACATTTTTGTGGTTACCCGCACAAGGGTGCGGGGAATAACGGGAATCATGTCGGCAACATCATGCTTGCTGGCTTTGATTGAACCAGTTTTCCGGACTCGTAACGGAAACCCGCCGGGACCGTAACAGAAAGCGCAGCCAACACGTAACCAAAACCAGGCCGCCCAGCAACCGAAACCGAAATCCTGGAGCCCAAATATCGCAAAGTGGGGGACCGAAAATCGGTCCCTCTCCACGACAGCTTTTCTGCAACTTGCTTGTACCTCGTTCTACTCATTTTCTGCTACCACTAGTGCTACTTCTACACTCCCTTTTGCAACTTGCTTGTACCTCATTCTACTCATTTTTCTGCTCATACTGGCACTAGTACTACCTCTACATTCCTTTCTAAATCCTGAACTCAAACCTTAACCCTTTTAACCCTAAACTCCAAGCCAGAGCTTTGGATCTTCACCCTCCGAGGGTCAGGGTTTAGGGTGCTTGCTCAATAGGATTCATCCATTATAGGGATAACAAAGGTTGCTGTATGCTTTTTGTGGGCTATGAGTACCCTTACTACTACTCCTAGGACTCCAAGGTATGATGGTAACTGGTACCTAAACCTTAAAAATCCTGAACACTAAACTCCAAGCCAAAGCTTTAGATCTTCACCCTCCAAGGACCAGGGACGGTCAGGGTTTGGGGTCTAAGGGTCAGGGTTTATGGTCTTAGGTTCTGGATGAAGGGGACTTCTTCACAACAGGTATAACAGCTAACAGAGGTTGCTATATGCTTTTCAAGGGCTATAAATACACTTACTAACGACCTTCCAAATGAGGCAGAATCGCGAACCCCCGGCCAAAGTAGGGACTGCAATATGTTGGTCCCCGTTTTATAGAATTACCTTTCCTGAACCCAGAAACTTGGATCCGAAAACCCTAAACCTTAAAACCTAAACCCTGAAGTTCATACGTCTGCCCTTGCTTCAGAATGATAAATTGATACTTGGGGCTGTGGCTTCGTGTAAGATTGGTAGGAAGCCGGAAATACCCGACAAAATGCATCTAGAAGGGGGACGAAAAATCGGCCCCCCATTGGCAGAGTCCAAAGAAAAAAGTTTTAGCCAGTCTCAACACATGTCTGGGTATTCCGAAGCTCCGGCTGGCTTCCGTTACGCAAGGCCCCAATGGCTCTCTGTTACGGAAACCGGCCGGTTCCTGTTATGAAATTGGGGCCGGTTCCTGTTACACTCCACTGATGCTGACAGTCGGTTCCTGCTACTTCCAATCCTCGCGCGCACAAGCACCTCGCAACGGGAGTGACCACTACTGACGGAATCGAGAGGTTTCGTGCAACCACCAAGAAGATGCAATTCGACTCATGTTTTTGCAAGGGTATGGAACACTACGGAGAGGCTAGCGAGGTTTCAAGCGGGATGTTGCAGACCCAGCGAGTGGGGAGGTTTGATGCAACCATCTAGCATAATTACCCGCACCATGATCTGGCGCGGAAGAAGAAGGAGGCTTGATGCAAGCACTAGCATGACGCAGTTCGCATGATGACCTTGCAAGGGCAGTGAACACAACAGCAATCAACAGCAAAAGTAGGGAGCCATTGCAATCAGGCAGAAAGTTCTTTGCACCAAAACATTCAAGGCCAGAGGACATGACAAGGGGAGCACCAAGGCTCGATGCAACTAGAAAGCACGGTGTTTCCGGTACCCCCACACAAGGGTGGTGAACACTACAGAAGGAGGGAGACTTGATGCAACAACCTAGCATGATGATTTCGTGACCATGACTAACACATGTACGCCCCAATTAAGCGGGAAAACTTGATGCAACCACAGGGAGTGCTACAAAGAATGAAAGCGTTGCATGCAGCAATCAAGCATGCTGTTTCTCATAGCAAAGGAGAATGGAGGCTCGATGCCAACACCAAGCGTGATGTTACTCGCTCTTTAAACACGCAAGAGTATACGAGGAGTGGGGAGATTTGATGCAACGACCAAGTATGATGTTACCTGTACAAGTACCAACCGAGCATGATATTATTCCTGCGAATCCTCTCCCAAAAAATCACATTGGACCCCCCCCAACCTATGCTTCATGTGAAAGAGTCACCTTCGACCCTCCCCCTTCAAATCTGCAGCTTCCTGCGGGAGAATCACGCTCGGCCCCCAACTTCCCCCCTCCCTCCCCCCGCATCCATGCTGTGATGTTTCGCATGATTCGCCGCTTTCCAACCCTTGCTTTGAATGCTACTACTGCTAAAGCAACACTAAATAAACTCAGGCCTAGCTTCGCTAGCTTTCGTGATATCGTGCCTGCCGGCCTTGACGATCCGGCTATGCAGCGATGCCACATCAACAGCACCCTTGTCGGCATTGACGACCTGAGTCACCGCCGATGGCCAGAACGGTCGGCCAAACTCATTCAAGATAAGCGCGAGGCGCAAATCTCGAGCAAAACATGATTGTGCGGCCTTCTTATTCAACATTTCTCAACCTCATGCCTCTCATCCTCTGCAGAGAAAAACGAATCCATTCCAGCACAGCTAGCCTTCCCAGCATGTTTGCAGCCTGCTTGCCCATTTCCTGGCTGTGAGTAGGCTTTCACAACACTTCATGTAGAGCCCCCCTCTTGAAGTTTCAGACGCTGTTTGCATGCAGCTATGATGATCTCAAAATGATGCAAGGTGCAAGGTTGTGGTCGCGCTTCTTTTGTCTGCTTGTTTCCCCTCAAAAACATCTCAATATCTCTAAGGCGGAAAGACATGTCACCTCTCTCGGGTGAGAGTAGTTGAATCTGAGCAGCAGCCACGGAATATTTTAACATAGTCTGTACACAAGCCTCCCCACCTTGGTTACGGTGTCCCTTACAGGCACTGTGTCCTACCAGCATCTACATCCGACAATCAGCACCTTGGACCTGCTTGCAATTTTAACCAGCAGGCGTTCCTAGATCTGGCTGGCAAACATGATCTTTGTGATAACTTCGTGGCCAGATGTTTTTGCAACAAGACAAAGCACCCTAGGCCCGCCGCAAGCAGGCCTTTTGAAGGATGACTCTAGCTGAACTTTCCAGAGTCAGACCACGCAGTCTATTCTTCAGTGCCACCCGCTAATCACTGCAGTCCTCGTGCCCTTCATGCACCGGATTGAAGGAGCCGGGCCTGGAAATTGCTTACGGTCCACTTGTTGAAGCTGCAACGTGCTTTCTGCACAGAAGAGGCCACCACAATAGAAGCATGCCGTGAGGAATGTCTGGTGCTCCAAGACCTCAACACAATCAATGTTTGAAGAAATTAGCTTCATATTGCTTTGTTCGAAACATGGGCGGCACATGTCGATTGATTTTAGCGTGCTGCCCTTGCACAAGTCTCAGTCATGAGGTTGCCTATAAACCGCAAGCGTCCGGAAATGGGTGAGACTTTGCACACAACATCTGGGTTGCTTGAGGTTGCCTTCAGCGTCTGGAAAATTCAGGTCACAACAAGCCACATGCCAAAACCTCACTTCATCCTGGCCTTAGCTGACTCTGCGCAGGCTTGGGCAGAGAAACTGACGGAAGCATCCTGAGCTTCCAGCTAAAAAGAAAACCTTGCCCAGGCTTGCCAACTGCCTGCCAAGGCAGCAGTTATCAAGCTGGGCAACGCAAGCATGGGATTCAAGCAACTTGCCTCCGAAGCATAACTATCTCTTACTTGTGGATGATACATCTGGTTTCACAGTGGAAACTCCTGGTGAAACGTTCAGATAACCGTGTCTGCTGCACTGATGTCAAAGCAGGTGGCATGGAAAAGCAGCATGGCAAACTAGCCGGAAACGCTTGGCAACTGTGGACCAAGCTTCCAGACATGTAGACCGTCAGGTGTACACTTTCCCGCTGAATTTCTTCTGTGCAACTGCAACACTCTCTTCGCGACAGATGGGACACCGTACCTTGGTCCGCTCCAACTCTTTGTTGGACAGCTGTCCCGGCTTGACAGACTTCCACTGACTCTTGCCGGATTCCTTCAAAGCTTTGGCAACTGCTTTGCGCCGGCATCCGGGACAAAATATTAAGTGTCCACATTCGTGCATGACGAATAGAGCAGACTTCTCAATGCACACGACACAGATTCCTTCTAGCAGTCCAACCTCTTCCGAGGCTTCTGTGTCCTGTCCAGAAACGGAATGATCCAGTTCCAGCACATCCGAGCTTTCAGCACAAATTGGGTCACTGCTTTCATGTGCAGTGCAAGATGCGGACTGATCCGGCTTACGAGTGCAGTCAGCAGCATCCTCATCACATGGCGCGAGTGCATCGAGTGGCTTGTGAGACGAGCGAGCGTCCAAACCTTCTGGCAGCGAAAACATTGAGAACTCGCCCTTGTAGTCCGGAACCTGACCTGCGCCGGGGGGTTCATAGTACTCGGCAAGGTTGGTGATCCTCCATATTTTGTGAGCTTGAAGCTCTTCATTGAAGTGACTGGATCGGAAAGAGCGCACGATCCGGTTGTAAGCCGCCATTCGCAGTATTCTCTCCTTGCTCGGCAGGCACTTCTGCAAGCTGGACTTTTCCTCTTTCATCCAATCCTCAAACTGTAGCACCTCTGCAAAAGCACCAAAGTCCAAAGACAACATGAAGCTCAAGAAATGCGAGCAATGGGACCATCATCAGAGCGTGCCCAATTTGGGGCATCCCTTAGAAAGAACCTGTCTTGACGTTCGCGCCCCCTTTTTTTTTTGTTTCAGGTTGGCAAGGGGCCCCGGAAACATATCAGCGACAGCCGCGCAAGTGTCACGCGTGACCCTCGCCGCCCTCAACATCACATTCACAGGTTTGGATAGGTTTAGGATGGATTCGATTGCTTGGAGCCGTGTCTGCTTGTCTCGTTCGGTCTTCCGTAAGCCCACACAACACACCATTCCGCACTGCAGCAGCGGAACAACAAAAAGCCTAGCGGCGGATTTCTTGAAAATGATTCTCAGAGCATCGCTTGGAGCGGCAACACCTACGAGGATTGTGACCGCAGGGCCCCCCAAACGTGCAGCAAGAGCGTGAGAAAACTCCTCGCGCAAGCCACGGAATCGCCCGTGCTGGCAGCGTGCGCACCCAAGCATAGAACATGGCACAGTACCACACAAACATGCCGTATGCTTCTTGACAACAAAACATCGTGCAAAGAAGCATCAACTGACCTTTATCGTTCCCTCTGATAGCGCGGCGGGGGCCTATTCTCTGCCAGACGCACCTGCTTGCGCTTGCTGAATCGCATTTTGGCTTGCTGCTGCTATGTGAGTGTCATTGGAAGGTCCCGAGGCCATTAAGATACTGATACGTCCACACTGACAAATCTGTGAAGGCTAGCTAGCTGTCAAAGCTAAATAAAGAACGTTGAAAATGCACTGGAACAACACCGAGGTGCTTGGTATATGCAAAGGCTCTTTCGCTGGCATAGATCCCGCATGACATTGTAAGCACGCTCTGTGTGTTGGATGTTTTCCATCTCGTCTGGCGTCATGTCTAAGGGCATCACAGCATCCAGCTCCAAGGCATCGTAGATGCCCAGCTTCGGAGGTCGCGGCAAGGTGGTCGCCTCCTCGTTCCTGACAGTGTCTATGACGTTCAGCGAATAAACCCTCAACATCCCAAGGCGCGCACTGCAAACACCAAATCAAGAAATGCCAGGGTCGCTTGCTTCGTTTCCCTTTAAGACCTTTGTTAGGCTGCCGACAGCTGATGGTTTCTGTCACTGAATCACCTTTCGAGGACACCATACAAGGCTTTTCAGAAATCTTTTCAGCATCGGCTTCAACCTGTTGGTGCAGCACATCCTGTCAGAACCTTCCCACAGGGTTCCGACTCTTGTTCCTGACTCCGCCTTTACTACGCCTGAAACTCCAAACAAGAACCTTCCTTCTGCCACCTATGCAGTGTAAGGAACCTTTCCCAAAAATCACTGCATCCCTTGCAGCTGGCGCATGAACCAAGATTATGCGCAGCATGGCTTCAGGAATTGAATAGAGAATATTGTTGACTTGCCGGGAGTCTGGCAGCCAATGGAGCTGACAAACTCTGGTCTGATGCTCTTCTGCGCCTCTCTCTCGGCCACAGCATTACTGACTCTGTCAATCACCTTGGCGAACAGCTGCACCATCAGGGTGTATGCCCGCGCAGCGTATTGAGCTTCTTCAACTGCTTCCAATTCGGACTTGAGAAGTTCTTTGGACTTGAGGAGTTCCTCCGGCTGCTTGCTGGAACCAGCTATTCGCTTCGCAATGGCAAGCCGCTTGTTCGCAGTATGATACTGCTGTTCCACCTCAGAATGGTCAAGCGTCTCTGGGACATCGTGTGTTGTTGTCAGTGCAGGGCATACGATGTGCCGCTGACACACATGTGTCGCCGCAGCGTCGAATCCTACCTCTGCGCTTACACCTTGTGCTGAACAGTAGGCTGACTCAAATCCTGGGGTCAGCAAAGGAAACACAACAGGAGCATGCGAGAGACAAGGATGTAAAACCCTGACCGGTAATAAAGGTTGTCGAGCAGCCTGGGGCCGAATCGCATCCATCTTTGTGTGGAAGCTCGTTGGACCTTGTAGGTCCAGCTCAGACATTCCAATCTCCTCATTCCTCCTCAGCATATCCGTATACACCTCGTACATCTCTCTTTCCAATGTTTTGCGACCACTCTGGCGGAGCAGCTCCAACCTCTTGGCGGCTTCCTTCGGCAACTTCCTGCAGTCCAGCCACCCGTGACCAAAGAAAGGACTCTCCCATGGTTTGGTTCTTTCTTTTGCTGAATTCTTCGCCCAATTACGTCCTCACAAACTGCTTCCTATCCCTAACCTGGCTTCGTCATGCTGATTGGTTCATTTTTGCATGACTGCTTTGGGATCCTGACCTCTCAGACTCTTGGGCACATCTCCAAACTTGCGACAAGCGTCAGTCATGCCGGTCGTGCTACCGTACAGCCTAGACTTTGCCCAAGGGTTCTGAGACTTCTGCTACATGCCTCAGGATTCGAGCGTTGCGCTCTAGTTGGCTCAAGCCGAGGTATCCAAGAATTTTGGAGAGGAGGAAAATCATGGCCCAGCTTCCGCCCGTCATGTAGCTTTCTTATGATGCTTTCTTCCACAGCGTCTAAGCCGAGAACCAGGTTCTGCAAACTGCTTGTGCTTTGTTGTGACAAGGATTGGCGCTCATGAAGGGAAGGCTTGAATGAGTGCCACGTGGTGCAAAAAGCAGTGCAGTTCCCATCGTCTAGACATGATCGATCAGCAGCCGTCGTGGTGTGCAGGGGCGTGGTAAGTTGGATCGAGCACATGACCAGGAACTGGACGTCAGCAAAACCAGCTACTTGTCGTTCTGGGATGTTCTGAGGACACTGCGTCGGAAGTCACGATGCCGTCTAAGACTCTTGTCGGTGATTGAGTGATGCGCACGTGGATTCAGCTTCTGCAGATTTGGTGCAGGAACGCACAAGTTCACAAGTACTTGCCAAGCCAGACAGAGACTGTGTCGATAGCACGGGGTCGAAAACACCAGCTGGACTGGAAAGCCGCTGGACAAATGGGGACAAGTTGGGGCCCTATGAAATTTGTACCTCGCTGTGGGGGCTTGGAACTGCTCACAGTAAAAGCCCAAAAGCGGCACTGCTGCAGCCAGAAGGCGGTAGGCCGCATATTTTCACGTGGGGCATTGCTTGTGGGCTGCCGAAGAATCGGACGAACACAAGACCGCTACCTTTGTAGACTTGCACTCGTTAGAGTCGGGTCAGAATCTGCAAGCTCAGTGAAAAAATCAACTGCATCATATCCCGAACACATATTGCATGAACCACTGTGATTTGTGCATGGCTGGCAAGGCAGAAAGCTGGCTTGAGCCGGAATTGGTCCTGCCGAGGTGCGGCGACCACATATGTCACATGCAGGAAATATGTCCAAGCAACTACAGCACGTTCTGCTCAACTGAAGCATGTAGCTGAAGCCTGTGTGTCTAAACATAATGATGAAGTTTGAGGGGACCAAAACTGTGATTGTTCCAACACCAGCTGCCGTGTTACATCAACAAAGCTGAGCAGCAAAAGCAGCCTCTCCATCTACAGGACATATGGCAAAAGCCAAGAATCGCAACAGTCTCTGCGCATCCCTGCGCTCATCTTTGAGCGGGAGCACTTCCAGCTCGTAAGTCAATTTGTGAGCTAAGCCGCTGGTGGGCCAAGGGGATGGGCAAGGCCCGGCGCAATCCGCTGCTGCTTAGGCTGCTGAGGCTGCTTAGGCTTAAAAAAGGCTTTATTTACTTCAAACCTAATTGTTTTACAGCTGCGGTGTTTTTTTCGCCCATCCTTGTCAGACTGTCGGCTGCGTGAAAACAAAGTGCCAGTGTCGCTGTCAATGTCGGTCACCTCCAATTCTTTTTGGCGTGGCCCGGATCAACGACCGGCATCCTGTCACAGAGCAGGCAGGAAATGCAAGGTCAACGATGGCCCAAATATCACTTGAGCAGGAGTTGTCTGTTCTTCATGCAAGGTTTCACGCTGAACTGCAAATGAACACATTCCGGACATGCCTGGAAGTTTCCATCTCAGAGTCCCGCTGCTGCATGCGGCGGCGCAAAGCCTCTTCGAAGCTCATCCCTCCTCCTGCGGCGCCAGCGCGGTCTCGACTTCTGCTGCGCCCCTTCCTTCAAGCCCCAGATTTGAAAAGCATATGACGTCTGACTTCTTCACATGCAGGGATCCAAGGGCAGGCCCCACCGAGGTGTCTGTGGCTACCTCCTCCTAAGCAGAGCCTGATGTTGGTACCCCTCTGTGTAACTCTAAACCTGCACGTCTGAACAGCGAGCCCTTGCGAGGATCTCTCTAAACCGAAGCACCTAGCAGCTCCATGCCAAAAGAGGCCTATCATCAACAGCAAACTTGCAGTGCTTTCAAGTCCCGCCTTTTCTTGGCGCGTGCCTTCTTGCCACGATGACTACTTGATGTGACTGACGCCGCCGAGATTGATCTTGATCGGCTGAGGTGCCGTTTCTTTTTGGGTGTGCGCTCCCGGCGCGTCCTGCCAGCGAATAATTTCCTATAATTTCCTAACAACACTATACCCTGACCCCGGCCAATACACGAAGCAGCCCCCACGTCCAGCCTCTGCGCAACTTGGGGCGTTTGATTTTGCTGGTTGAGGCGCTCCAACAGAGCAAGGGAACTGTCGACATCTTCCTCCTGCTTCTTCTGGCTAGCCTCATTCTTTTCGGCCATTGCCTCGAAACGGGCCTGCCACATGTTTCCGAATGATTCCGCATCGGTTTGATGTCCCAAAGCCCAGCAAGCTTAACCCTCATATGCCTGCATTGCAGAGGCAAGTCTTCATTGTTTCAAAAACTCGTTTTGACGTATTTCTGGACAACATCGAGTGGAGCAAACCAGTCGCAACATTGCAGCCATGAAAGCCATTTTAGAATCTGAATCTGAGCAGTACATCCGGTAGGAAGCTTACATAGTAGCTAATACGGCTAGAATATGCTTGAATCAATTGTTGGCGAGTTTGCTGCCAAGTCAAACGGATGACTGGAGGCGTCTCATCATCTTTTTCGCTGTCTCGCGGCTTTTCATATCATTGGGCTTTGCATGGCTTTGCCGTCTCCGCCGCCGTACAGGAAGCAGGTGTGCTCGCAACATCGGTATGAGGTTTCATGATTCGTTCTCATCTCGTTTACAGTTTGTTCCGTTCAAGGCGACCTTTACCTTGCACTAGTCTTGCAGATACGAAGGGACACTCCCCAATCCCTGTTTCAGCGATGCTATGTACGACCTTCAGCAGCGCCGGGAGATTCTCCCCATTCCGGGTTCACATGACGCTTGAGCAACTAACTCTGTGACTAACTTCTGCTCAACTTGCGGCTGTCCCGGCACTGCGCATACAAGTGTTGCTCAGTTGCGCAAGATCCGCAATCCGCTGCCCTCCACCTTTTAACTTCGCCACCCACCTTTCTCTTCGTTGCTTCAGCGGGGGAGCGCTAGCCACACCACCCGGCTGCGGTGTGCAGCGCTAACTGCCCGAGTCGTTTGGGAGAGTTGTCCTGCCATTATTGGCTCCTTCTATAGTTCTGGAATGCACGTCCTTGCTGTTTTCTCCTCCCTGGCGCGCAGCGGAGCCACACAGAAGCCGCGGTGTACTCTGGGCACAATGCTTTGTCCATGTTGATGTCCACTCCGAGACTGGTGATGACCATTCTGGCATTTTGCAAACTGTCCTGGGCACCTGTAGATCTCATGCCTTCCTTGCCACTGCCTCTTTGGATCTCTTTGGTGTGCAGCTCCCATCATCATTTCAAGTCTTTCAACAATTCTCGAAATTCATGGTCACACTTGGCGCCTTCTTGTCTAGGATCTGTTGCTATGCCGGCTCCCCAATCTTCCGCAGTCCGTGACCTTGTCCCCTGCGCCGACTGCACGAAGTCTCGCGCCTTATTCAATTGTGTTCAGTGCTTTCATTGGCTCTTCCGGCTTTTGTTTGGCTAGGGACTTCACGCCGGTTGACTCAGCTTGATTGGCCTATACAGTTAGCTGTCTCCCCCTGTTGTTGGTGATCTCGTCATCGCCACGTCGATTGTCTGCACTTCCTTGTTGTGCACCGGGGGCTGCCAGCTCCCTCAAACCAGGAGTCTCCACTCAAGTACTGAGTCTTCCTTCTTCCTAATCACCGCCCAAGTGAGCGGGGCTCTCCTTGTAGAGGCGGAAGATATGGCGCTGGGAGCTTACAATTCCCTTCCCGGGCACGGATCCAGACAATAACGGTTTATGGGCTACCAGACTCCCCTCAGGAAAAAGCGAAAAGGTATCTCCTGCCGAGCACATGTGGCAAGAAGAATTTCTACTTCTATTTTTGGGGGTGCCCACGCGGGTGAGTTACGGCGACAGTTCCACCCCCAAAGATGCAAAAATATCCCCACTCAGGGGCCCGCCCGCTGCTGGCAACACCCACAAAAGGCGAGTTTTGTCTACAGGCTAGCCCTCTTTGTTTCTTTTGCCGGGAAATGAGGCAGGCTGCGTGGCCCATCCCTGGGATCGGCGCACGCCCGTGTTGGGCTTTGCCTCTGGGAGGTACGCCATGCAAAGGCTGTGCCCGTTGGAAACCAACACCCTAGCAAAGAAAAACTACAGATCATTCACCCCCTGACCCTGCGGTCCGCTGTGTGCATTTGGGGATCCACAAGGTGAGGAGCGTCCCTTTGAGGTGTATCTCTGTGTATGAATGCTCCAGGCCCTTCTGTCTGAGAACACTAGTCTTGCCTGGTTGCAACATTGCATGCTCCATTTGACTCTCCATTGAGGGGAAGGTAGTAACTCTCAGCGCCAGCCCCTCCCCTTCTCGTTGTACAATGCTACTTCACGCACTTTTTGCAGAACAAGTGAACAGCATTTTTGATATTTCTTGGTGGTCGGAGCACAAATGATTTTCCCCTTAGAACAAGACCACAACTAGAAGACTAACACTAACACAATCTCCATCTGTGGCTGGGGACTATAAGTTCCCCAGGTACAACATTACTCAGGCGGGCTTTGATGGATGACAATTGAGCTTAGAGGGCTCATCTTTGGTAAAAAGAGCGTGCATTGCAAAAGTCGCCCTGAAGACGGCGCATCGCCTAAACTAGATGTCAGCCTGGCCTCTGAATCCTCAGCCCCTTTTCGCCTTTTTTTGCCAGTATTTGGATCCGGCATTGGCCTTTCACGAATGGTGAAAGTCCAGCCACCTCCACCATCTTTCTCGGAATCTTTCTCCGTATCCGCCTTCGCCTCCTCTGGTTTTCTATCTGGACTAGGCTTTGAATCCTCCTCCACACTTTTGACCCCGGTGGCAATGTCGTCATCCTCAGCCTCGAAGAGCTTGTTCGGAGCCCATTCATCAGAGCGCAGAAACCGACGCTGCTTCTCTGAGAATATGGATATGTTGTCCAGAATGACTCCTCGGAAGAGCAGAAGAAAAGGAAGAAAATGAATGTGAGCAGATGCTTGTACTTCATGGGGCCCTTTGCAGCAGGAGTCCTCGCAGTTTCTGGCTATTTCGAGTAGGCATTGTCGCACAAAACTTTCGATTGGAGACCTCAACTCCAAGGCAGCCAATGATTCAATGATGTGCCGCTTGACAGCAGAAGGAACAAGTGAAAACTGAGCTCAAAGAATCAAACTTCTCCATGCTGCTATGTCATAAAGCTCAGTGGAATTGGCCCGCTTGTCCTCGACCATTCTGAGCGCCTTTCCGAGGAAGAATCCACAAACACATGGGTGATTTTTACCCGCCTTGCTCAACCACTTGAGCCGTGCTTCAGGCTTCAATGCCAAGGCCGTCTTAAGGTCAACCTGCACCTTGTGCCCAAAAGTGTGTCAAAGTGCAGTTCGACTATGCGAAGCACAAGGTAAGCTGCAGAATTTGATAGGCTTGTATGACATGCTGGGCGCTGGAATGAAGAGTCAAAACTACTGATTCTCCTTCGCAATAACATAATTACATAACAGAACTATGGCCGACTAACAAGCACCTGATTTAGGACAATGAGGCCACGCAGCTTCATCGACATTCTCTACTATCTTCTTCACCTCTCCTTGGTCAGCAGCTGAAGGTTGCCGCTAAGAGCGGCAAAATCATGACGACAGCTGTTTCAACTCAAGGTGCCCAGTTAAAGAAGTTGCCCCTCATTCTGTTGACCTGGCCTGACGCCCGCGTTCCCGCTGTACCCCTCAAGCCAGCCCCAGACCCCAAGCCCCCAGTTTTCCTGACTCTCTTGTGAAACTCACATCCATGAATTGAGCTGGCACTTGTGTGCTTGTGTCAAACTCGAAAAAGGGGCAAGCTTCACCGCATCGGCATGGGGATAGGGTGAGATTGACCCCCACCCACACTGAAATGGACAGCCGCCGGGGTCAAAGTTTCGGTGCTGGGACAGCTGTAGTTGCTCAACGAACCTACAGTGACTGATTCACAAGAATAAGATTCTTGCAGACACCTGGCGTAACAGCAGCTGCAGTCGGTTTCCTGGCAACAGCCCCTTTGGCCCTGAAAGATTTCTTCAGCAAACAGGCGCGGCAGCAAAGGTTCCAGTTGCAACACTTGTCTTGGTCGCGGCCAGGCAAGCTGACCAGGTTGTATTGCCAGGCCTTGCAAAAAATTGAAACCCTCAACCCCGGACCTGCAGGAATCCTCGGCACGCAACATGGTAAGTACCCCCTCGAAGTTCATAATCTCGATTGAGACAAACAGGGAATTCACAAGGATTGCTGCTGCTTCTGTGCTTCCCTACTCTTCCCCAATTCTCTGGTGGCCTACTGGAAAAAATGCCGATCAAAGCTCGGACCCGAAACACAAGGATGCCTTCAAAATGCTCTGAAGCGCTAGCTTCTTAAGTGTATGCTTCTCGAGTTGGGCAGTGCCTCCAGCATGCCACAACCTTGCCAGTCTCTGATACATCCAAGTCTCGCTTTTGACGGGTGACCACTTCTGCAGGCAATCGTCTGTTGAGAGGATTCGCATCCTCTCCTGACATGCCCCTCTTTCGAGGGTGTCGTTGCAGCACTTCGGCCGTCCATAGACTTTGAGCCAGAACCAAGCGGAATGATTCAAAGCAGGAAAGAAATTCATAACAGTGTGCTAACTTGAAATATCAACCACGCAGAGGAAGCACGTTCCCAGTATCGCTCAGTACATGCTGACGAATGTCAATGTGCAAAATCAAGCCGCAGCAGGTGCAGCACGGTCCCCAGCCTACTTGATGCTGCAGCTGTCCACATGTACGTCCGAAGCTTCCATGGCAAATACAAGTCAGCACGATCACCACCCCGCTCATGTGCTGGTAACGGTGTGGAAGTGTTTCAGAACTGATGCTCTTACTGAATGCTTCACCATTCCCTGGACTCAGCTTGTTCTGGCTCGGGAGCGCCCGTCACAGTGCAGCAGTGCAGGAGCAGCAGTGGAAGTCTCATCCACAATATCATCACGTGCAAATCGTGCAACCAGCCAAGACGCTGGGGCATTTACCCATTGCAGCTCCACCAACCTGAGCGAGGACACATCTAATAATGTTTCTGTGGTGCGTGTTGACTGAGCATCAAGACGTCCTTGGCCACCAAATAGTTCCTGGGCGCTCTCTGCCAAGAGCTGCAAAGACTGAGGATGAACACGGGAGCAGAACAGCTTGCCCTCCGTCAACTTCACGAGCAGCTCCTGGGAAACATCACTATATAAACTCATGCCACACCAAATGACTTCGATGGCTGCTGAGGATGTCCATCAGTGGCATGCCGTCTTTCGCCCATCGCCTCAGAGCCAACAGACCGAGGCCCAAATCTACCAAAGTCTATCAGTGTCTCAGGGCAGGACTCTGCACCAACAATCTCCCGAAAGCCCTCTTGCAGATCATCGTCTGATCAAGAACAGATTGCTGACATTAAGCAGTCCTTGTCATCTGCCATCGCCAGGAGACCAATGCAAAGCAATGTGGCTTTCAAAGACAACATACATGACACCACAGGATTGACGTAAGTATCGTAAGTTTCTCCGTACGAAAAAATATGTTTCATTTCACATGAGCTGAAGGGCTACAAAAGTTGAGAGGCTTAAGGGCAGGTCATGTTAACAAAAGGGGTGTTCTTTGCAGGTTGACAGGCCTTTTGCGTGCATCAAGTACAACCCATGAGCTGTGTGCGGGCGCTCTGAGGTCTCCATTCGTAATGATAGGATCCAAACGCGAATGTCCCCTATGAAGGGATTTGCATACGGCATGATTGGCTAGGTAGGGGACTGCACACACACAGTTTGAAAAATCGTATGCTTATGGCGGGGAAGAATGTGCAAGATCTCCCAAGGTCTGCCAGGCTGCCAGGCTGCCAGGCTGGGATCTCTCACAGGAGATTTGCTCAGACTTCTGGGGTGCTTCTTAGGGTTCTCAAACTTGATAAGAGTGCTTAGGGTTTCAATACATTGGCTTTGAGAGTTATTCGAGCCCCAAGTTTTCAAGTACACAGAGTGTCTGTGCTCAGTCGTCCCAATTCTTGTGAGCCCTGACTTGGATGCTGCACTGGTGATATGAGCTCGGATTAGTCGTGCTGCTGGTGCAGCCGTCGTCGTGGAACTTGCAGGAACAGCGGGAAATGCTGCAGTATAACGTCCTATACTATACTTTTATGTTGTAAGTATTCTGCAGTGTACGATGGTAGTACCCTTCATCTGCAAGACGCCTTGTCCTGTCCTTGGCCTGTTGCATGTGCTGGAGCAAACTTTGCGACACGGCGTTCAACACATTCTTGTTTGGGCGCATTGGACACGTCTCCTGTCGGCAAGGAAACCCGATGCTCGAAGCCTCAGCCTTCAACTGCGCGCAAGTGAAACTAAGCAGCACAACGCGCATGCACTGTCCTGAAATGTTGCGTAGATTAGGACCGCGGAAACGGTCCAAATAAACCATGGCAACGTCGGGTCACAAACCCCATCGGTACGACGAACTCAACGTAGTGTGTTGCAAGCAGCTGCAAGCCGATACTGCCGCACCGCACGCTGTCACCTGAACATTGGAGGTATGAATCTGCCCTGCAACCATCATGAAGGTCGGTGGTTTTGCCTGGCTGTGACAACACAACATACCAAAACATGAAGCAAGAGGAGTGGAGAGGGAATCAAGAGAGTGGAGACCGGAAAACAAAAGAGATTAAAAGAAGGGTGAGGACAGCGACCTCTGGCATTTTCAAGTCGCCACGGTACCCAATTGTTGCCAGGCAGCTACTGTACAATTGTCCGATCCGAATATTTCAGAACGCCATCAACGCGCTGGAAGATTCCATGACAAAGTTCAGATCAAGGATTCGTGAGCAAAACAAACCCCTTCGCACGTTTTCACGCATGGACAAACTCCGGCGCAGAAGTCGCTGAGCGAAAGCAAAAAAAACTGCCGGGGCAACAGCCAGTCCGGGTGGGGCGGGTGCCGAGGCCGAAGGCAAGCAATCAAGCGCAGACAGTGCACGAGTGCTGGAAGTCGCCGGGAAGAAAGGATGTAGGGAAGGCTCGCAGACTTGCGCACTTCGATTGTGAGGCTGCTCCCTGAGTTAAAAGTTAAGGACCGGAACCCAGGACCCTAAACTGGAGGAACTCGCACTTGACTACTCAATTTTGAGACCGAAGTTGGACCCTGAGTGACTGGGTTTGGAGTAATGAGATACCCTTGTTGGTCATGCGGAAGGCCTTTCACCTGAGCCCAACAGGACGACCCAGCCACAGATCATTTGCCAAAGCATACTTGCACAACCAGGGACTCTTTGTCGAAAAGGCATCCAAACAATCCACGCACACTAAAGCGGGCATATCTCCGGAGAGCATTTCCGTCGTGATGCGCCGCTTGTGCAACAGTACTGGAAGTGGACTCTCGGCACTGCTGACGTCCACGCTCGACGCTAACAACTCCCCCTTCGGAATCAAAGGCCACCGCTGCATGTAGCGATCCAATGACAAAAGATCCCAAACAAGCAAAAGCTTCTTCATGAAGCAATGCTCTCCCGTCAGGAAACAGTCCCTCATGTCCTTGCGCCAAAATGTTCGGCACAAAAAGCACATCCAAGGCGCTCTCGTGTCGGCGAAGGCGCTGCAGAATCCCAGTCCAAAGCAGAAGAGCGAAAGAACTCAGCGTAGTTGCTCACATAATGCCGCACCTGCCACATCCAGATCTAAGTTCCTAAATGCGTACAACACAATATCGAATCAAGCAAAGAATCAAAAGAAGATAACAAAACATCTGAACCACAGAAGCCTCGGAGGCAACGACAACGTGAGGACACAGCAACTCCAGGTGGAGAAACGTGTTGCGATACCTTTGCAAACCACCATGTTCCTCATCAATGTGGCGCAAAAGCTCCGCGCGAGTCGTGTAATGACACTCGCACAGCAGACAGGGCTGCTTCTCTATCTGCACGGCAGACATCGGCCAGACTCTCAATGAAGCATCTTCGCTTGGAACGTTCAAAGCTTGCATGCGTACGAAACGATGAAAAGGATTGCCCACCTCGTTGGCAGCGTCGCAAGCCGTCCATATTGTC